TAAATTTTAAATTAAAATTTAATAAAATAAAATAATTTGAAATTAAAATTTTAATTTATTTTGGCAGTGACTGATATACATACAATATATATATTTGTGGTAGTCCAATAGTCCTCCTCATCGAAGGCCCAATGGGTTTTCGGCATAATAAGCTAAGTAACTATCTCACATTCACTCTAAAGAAATGTATATGGCTCACACAAACTGATCATAATTTTGGGCCTTACACACTGTGTCTTGTATTTTGGACTAATTTTTGTCAACTCATTTTAATTAAACCAAACTCTTTAATTAACAGACAGCTCACACAAATTAAAAAAGTTTCTAACGACTACTGTTAGATTTTTTTTTTTTTTTTTCAAACTCCTGATGATGGGTAATTTAAGAAGAGAGTATAGTCTCCCTTCTCAAATTCTTCCTACATAATTTAAAGTTTAAATTTTTAAGATTTTCAAATTAAAATCTCAAATTTTAAACCAATTAAATATGCTTACTTAGGATTCATCAAAAAAAAAAAAAAAACGCTTACTTAGGGGTACTATTAGGGCACTATTTATAGGTTGTTTGTTACTCCTATATTTTCCCTCGGGGATCCTTCTAATCACCCTAGCTAGTTTTACTTTTTGTTCTATTTACATGTTTGTGCAAGAATATTTAAATTTGAGATTTTCTACATATCACAATCTATTCTACCTAACTTTCTTAATTAATTGTGCAATTAAATTGCAAATTTTTAATGATGAAGAATTAGCAAGCTATTTGATTATAAAGAGGAAATTGTTAAGAAGAATCCAACCAGCACAGTTAAAGATGGCCGGAGCAATTACAATAGGCGGGAAGAATTCATGACTTTGGCGCCCACATTTTGGTGATCTGTAACATCTTGCTGACATAGAATTATGTAGGGCTCATTCAAGGTAGTTCAACTAAAAAACTATTAAATCATTGCAATGGTTGAACGTTAAATGTGAAAAAAGCTACTATGGAAGTTACTAATGATGTTACAGTAGGAAGGTAAATGGCTCCTGTGCACTTTTTGACTCAAAAAAAATAACATTCAGCATGGTTGTTAATTAACCTACCTTTCTAAGCTTTATGATCGTGTAGGTGCCTCTATTGTAAAACAATTTTAGTAATGAACAAGTAAACAAATTAAAAAATTGTAAGGTCAGACTCATCGATAAATAAATATTATTTTATAAATTAATTTATAATTTAAGTTTTAAGGTGAGTACTTAAGAATATTAATTTTTTAAATGTAATAAGCTAATGTAGAGTTATGTTCTTAAAATCATTAGGGAAGAATTAGTCTTGAAATATACAAAAGTTGGTCAGATAATCATTTTTACTAGTTTTATATAACTTTTTTTACTTAATTCTATTATGAAGAAATTGATTTTAAGATTTTTTGTTTCTTTAAGACTAAAGAATCTGTTTGGCTTAATAAAAAAAAGAGAAAAATTAGTCTTGAGATATACAAAAACTCTTTAGATAACCTTTTTAATTAACTTAACCCTTTAACTTAATTCTATTATGGAGAAATTAATTTTAAGATTTTTTGTTTCTCTAAGAACAAAGAATCTGTTTGGCTTAATAAGAAAAAGAGAAAAGTAGTTGGTTACCAAAGCCTCTCTTTGATTGCATTAACCCAAGTTGCCACTATAGAAATTATAGAATAGTTTTATGTAAATTTGACAATGTTATAGGTATAATACTATATA